CAGGAAGGTCACTGTTGCTCACAGCCACTTCCCTGAATACGGAAGAGCACCGCTAAGTCGAAAGAGAGAAAGAGCAAACATCCACAAACAGCGAGCTCTAGAACTACATGGAGGAAAAATCTCACTGACTAATTCCCAGAGCCTGGACCTATTCGGAGAGCAGGCTGATCACACAACTGACAAGAGGACGAAGGGGCTACTGGACCCTCATCTCAGCTCTGCCAGCCTCCTTCTGGAAAATAACTGAGCTCTTCCCATCTTTCATCATTGTAGGTGGCAAACTATAATGAATGCAAGGTTGGTTCTGGGCTGGTCTTACTTAGGACAACAGCCAAACCAGAAAGGATGTGTGTGCCCATTTTATGCTCCAGGAGAGGGCAGCACCACATAAAAATTACTCTCAAGGAGAACCTGAAATGTACTCTCTTCTATTACCACAAAATTTCTATGTTGTTGAATGATTGTTACTTGGTACCACTAAAATGGGTGCCTTCTCCGTACAGGGTGTCTAGAAGTATTGGTGGGGGCACCTGGGTGGCTCAGTCGGGTAAGCGTCTGCTTTCAGCTCAGGTCATGATCCTGGGGTCCTGGGATGGAGTCCTATATCCGGATCCCTGCTCAGCGGGGAGTCTGCATCTCCCTCTCCCTCTGCTTTTCCCTCTGCCTCTCTCTCTCATGAATAAATAAATAAAATCTTAAAAAAGAAATATCGGTGGGCAATCCTGGCAAACAACTGAAGCCCTAACCATTTTAAGTCTTATAATTGAAGGAAAGCCTGGCTTGAGTCTCTCCCAAGAGCCTTCCTCCTCGTGTATGTATCTTGGGTGTGTGTGGTGTTTATTATGGCTTTGCTTCCCTTTCTCACGTGAAATCTCCACATTTTGTATTGGAAGCAAATAAACTGGGCTCATAACATAAAGCCTCACTACGTAACACAGCAGTACGCAAGTGCTGTTTGAAAGACTGTATCCTGGAACGTAGCTAAAGTGATTTCATCTTTCTACTGGCAAAAAGACCTCATCATAAGCAGTTTCATTAGTAGCATGGACAATTTAACCAAGATCCCCAGAACATATCATGGGAAAAACTCTTACGTATTAATGAACTTACATTTTAACAGTTATTTGATCAATTAATTATCAAGTGATTTCCTTCCTTTCCACTCCCACTTTCGTGAAGTCTCAGCATATTTATGCTGTTACAGTATTTGTGCTAAAAAGTTATTTATTTTAGAGAGAAAGAGAATGACCCAGGAGGGGTAGAGGAGAGAATCCTCAAGCAGACTTTCTGCTGAGCTCAGAGCCCCAGACGGGGCTTGATCCCATGACTCATGAGATCACGAACTGAGCAGAAACCAAGAGTCCAACACTTAACCAACTAAGTCACCCAGGTGTCCTGCTCTTACAATATGTATTTGTTGAAAATTAACTTAAAAAGTATTTTGGGTTATTACACAAATGAATTCTGGTTTTATTTCTGTTGAAGATTACTCTTTGATATGCCTGTATGTAACAGAGACAAAAGTCACCCTACATTTAATCAAAGTCTAGAGTCCAGATGAACTTGTATTTAAGAAAACTTCTTGGCTGAATTTCTGTCTGCTAATATATTTCTTTTCTTTTTTTTTTTAAGAATTTATTTATTTGATAGATCGAGTGATAGGAGAGAGCGCACAAGCAGGGGGAGCAGCAGGGGGAGAAGGAGAAGAGGGGGAAGCAAGCTCCCTGCTCAGCAGGAAGCCTGATGCGGGACTCGATCCCAGAGCCCTGAGATCATGACCTGAGCCAAAGGCAGAGGCTTAACCCACTGAGCCACGCAGGTGCCCCTCTGCTAATGTATTTCTAATAATTCAAACTTACCATAAGGTAAATGCCAATCGCTAGAGATGGCAGTATGTGCAAATAACGGTAGAATCAAATTCAAACAGTACAGTCATGTCAACTCCCCTATTTAAAAAAAAAAAAACAAAAAACTGTCTACCCTGCCATTTCCCCCATGCAATTATAAACAGGAATTTTAAGCTTTCATAGCTAGGATTGGAAATTATTCTCAATGAGGTCTTTGGAAGTAATGATGCCAAATGGGGGGATTGGGGGGTGGGGGGATGACTCTGTGGTCACATGCTTTTCCCGAAATTCCTGAATTTGACCGTAAAGGAGCCCACACCACTCCACCCATACCTGAATCCCCTGAATTCTGTCTTAACATTTTTTATCTAATTCAAAGTTAAGTTCAGCAGACACTTAGGAACAACAGCCATGTTGAAGATACATATGTTGATAAGTTCTGTTGAAAGTCAGTTTTGAAATTGAAAGTTTGAGTTTGGAATTGGAAATCTGCCCCCCAGAAGCAGTGCCAACAGGGATGTGCGGACACACGTTCCCAAGCCAGCTTACAAAAAACTTTAAATTCAGGAACTTGTGAAATCAGTTCTAAAGAGACTGATCTCCATCTATAACTGTGTTTCTGTGGGAAAATTTGTCACAGTATTTTCCAGATTTCACATCTGGGATATTAATTAGGACCTTAAACATTTTTTAAAACTTGCAGGTGTGGCCCTAATAGAAGGAAATTTAGAAGCCCACCTCCCCCCTCGCTACTGTTCAAAGCACTGGGGGGAGGGCGGAGGGGAGTTCTGTGACTTGCCAGGGTCAATAGAGCTGGGCACCCACTGAGCTGGGAACTCCAGGGGTAGGGAGAGGGGAAGACCAGGGAAGTTGGTGGGGGCAGCAGCAGAGGCAGGGCAGGGTAGTGGGGGTGGTATTATTCCAATCCTCTCCTCCTTTAGGTTGCTCTTTCTTCCCATTGCACCTCTTTTCTGTGTGAATTGGAGGCGGAGGAAGTCTCTGGAAATAAGGGAAACCTCCTGTCCTCCCCCCACGTCCACCCCCTAACAGGAATGATGGCTGGGGGTAGGGGTGGCGCTACCACCTGTTATTTTGGGTCTCTTTTTGGGGGAGGTGGTGACCTAGAGGCTGGAGGAGGAAGGAGCAGGCTGAGGAAAGGGAGGCAAAGGGCTTTTCCCTCCCATCTCCCTCCCTCCCCACCCCCCCCCCCCCCCCCGCCCCTTCTACCTGGTCAGAACCCCCCCACAGCCCGCTAGTGCTGAGCTGGGGTGACCAGTCTGCTAGGATAGAGATGGGCAGGGGGGAACTGTAATAAAAATGTGAAGTTCCCCAGCAGCACGGAGAGGGAAGGGACTTCCTGTGGCACCTGGCCAGGCAGCAGTCGGTCGGACATTTGTCAGGCTCCCTGTATCCCAAGGGTGGCGGGACATAGGTGACAGCATCCCCCACTGGGGGTCCATACCATACTGCATTGAATAATCACAACACTTTTCTGTTCCCCTTCCCTAACAGGTCAGGAACGAATGCCGAAAGCTCATCTGTATTTTCCCACAGCAAATTTTGGGCTAACGTATTGGGGGAGGGGCGTGTCACATGTAAACTTAATGAGAACATGGAACATAAAATCAAATTCCTACAAGACTGGAGCCCCCTTAATGAGTTCTGTACGGTGCCTAGAGCAGGGCTGACGATAAATATTTAACAACCCCTCATTGGACATCAACTGCAGAAGAACCTATTTTTAAAAATCTCCACCTTTTATTACTTGCTGCTCCTTTAAATACATCCTGTGATAAACCTGACATTTATCGGATCAGTCAGACAAGGGAAGATGAGCTGGGTGCAAAGAACCCTGGATGAGAAGTGATGAGGAAATCTCCGTAGCTTTTCCTAGCTTAGAGTTTACATTTGATAGTGAAGCTGACTGTATATATTAGCAACCTAATAAAAACCACTGAAACCGTCCATGGAAAAATACGTTGGTGGTTGAGAAAATAATTTTCTTTTGCGTTAGTCCTAATCTTTTTTTGGACTCCCATCAATGCTCTTCGTCATTTTTGCTTATTTGAATGGAGGGTGTATACAGAATCCCACCAAACTGTAACAAGTGCCTTAATTTTCTGAACCCACAGCCAAAACCAAATAGTGCCTTTTCTGGAATTTTCAAGCAAGCCTTGTATCTGTTACCCTATAAAAAATCGAGAAAATTGGATCTCTCCAGTAACAAAACCTTCCATCCTCCACACTTCACCTCCCTTTAAACCATCAAATAAGAACATCAGATATTGCTTGACCCAATTTTTCATTTGGTTTAAAATCCTTTTAAGTGTGGATTTTGATACCGATTCCCTGTTCTTGGCTAAACGTTATGTAGTGTTTGTCAGTGGCCCTGGACAGGGGCTAGAAGACTGGTTATACTTCAACCACGGGCCAGGTGATTTTTATTTATTTCTTAACTGAGCTTGATCTCAGGGGTGAAACATTCAGCCTTATCTAAAAGACATAAAAGTAAATATTAAGTTAATTAAAAAAAAATCTTGGGTGACAAAGGGCATTTTTTGGTACTCTCTTTGTCAAACACCACGCCCAAGGTCCTTATTCCCCTGCTGATTCTGGACTCTGTCCTCCCACCACCAATTTTGCATTTCTTGGAAAAAACACTTGAACGAATGCCATTTTTGATAGTGTGCAGGTTACCAAAGTATATCAATAAAAAAGATGGCACATACGTCTGAAGGTGTGGCCCATAATACCAACATCCTGCCACTTCACCTAAGTACTTTATGACTGAAAAAGGTACAAACTAGGTAACTTCTCTGTGCCGTTTTCTTGTAAGCTGTGGGAATGCTGTCCATCATGAAGGATCCCACGGGGGATGATCGCATGGGACCATCAACAATCCTAGTTCTTATTTCAGGCTTCCACAGCATTGAAGGGAAAGGGCAATTTTATTTTCATCATGGCATGAATCCATTCCGATTGTAGTCTTCGACCCCAGTCCCTATAGGAGTCTACAAAGTATCTTTCCTGGTTCTGGATTCAGATATTAAATTAAAACCGATGTGCAAAACTAAACAAACAAAAATCCACCACCAAAACATAGCCTAACCCTCCAAAAAAAAACCAAAAAAACAAAAAACAAAATAACAAAACCCAGCTTTGGGGAAAACCCATGTCCACGGTTCCATGTCCTTATCCTAAACTCTTTAAAAAAAAAAAAAAAAAAAAAGAACAGATCCCCATTCCTCCTTAACCTGTGGTTGTCTCCAGGTCCAAAGAGGCCAGTGCGAAGAAGCAGAGGTCTAGAAGTTCCTGGGGTGGTCTCCACGCCCCCTCTTGGGCCACTCCTCATCCACCCACCTGTGCAGGACCTTCTCCACGTCGGCCCTGTGGTACAGCCTGCACAGCTCCATCAACTGACCCACTGGCCTCTGGCTGTTCCGCAGCAAGAACTCCAGGGTGGGGCTCTGAGGCCTCTGCTCCAGGAAACACAGTTCATCATAGGGCATGCCCCATTTGCTGGCAAAATTCCTCCAGTTTTTTACTGTCGGGTGACATGGATCCAGCTTTATCCTGATGACGTCAAGTAAGTCCTGATCATTGAGTAAGTCACTTATGGTCGGAGCCCGGAGAGAGCAGGAGGGACAAGTACAGTTCTCCTTGCAGGACTCGCCTTTGCTTACATCTGCGGGGACAAGCAATACAGCCCACAGGTCAGCCAGAAAGTGACCGCGTGTGTCCATCTCTCCCGTCCTCGATTATCCTGCTCACATGCCAACAGCGCCGGTGCGCGTGGATCCTATCGATACTCAGATACCTTCAGGATACTCATTCCTAGAGCCTCGCACAACAAATGGGGGCATTCTTGACAGCCAAGGGATGGGGGGCTTTGCTGGAAGCACCAGTGGGGTTTTACATAGCTAGGCTCCCTTTCTTTTGGAGGCTGAGTCTCACATGGTGCATTTGCAAGGCTGCTGGCTGGAATGTGGGTTCTGAGGAGCGGGGCTGTCTCTGGGGGTGGGTCCCCGGCGGGAGTCACACTCCACGGTCCCACAGGTAAACCAGCCCAGACTTGCCCGAACCTCCACTCTTACCCCTTACAAGATACAAGTCAGCCCTGACAGCTTTTTAATGCCAAACACCGCACAATGGGGTAGGAAGGATTGCACAGCTCTTTAAAAGACCTTTAAACACACTCACACATTGAAAACTGGAATATCTACTCCATACACATGTTTGAAACGGAGTGACTGATAACTGATAATGCCAGAAAACTTACTTTTTTAGATTTATGGCCACCTTATCATTTTGCCTTTATCTGCGTTTTCTTCACCCATGGGGCTTCACCATGGGGCTCCCTTTGAAGGGGAGCCAATGCCCTGAGGTGGGTGCCGTGGGATGGACGAACAGGAGGCTTCTGAGATGAGCCTCATCAAGAAGGGCACAGCCCCAGCCCAGAGGAAGGGCAAGCATTCTCCCATCAGTCATCTTTAGCCTCATTTCAAGGAAGCATGTTAGGGGGAGGATGAAGGAGGAGGGAAGAAGTGCTGGCAAGTCATTTACAATTAAGTTGTTAAGTGGTGTTTGCACAACATGGCAAGGGGAGTGTCTTAACTTCTGCATCAGCACTGGGGCTCCCGACCCTTCTGACCGAGCATTGTAACAGCCAAAGGCTATGCCAGAGATCACTAGCTTGGAAGATTCCGGGAGGCTGGTTACAATGACCTTAACTATACTGAGCCCTGGACTTCCCCATTTAGGAAAGGAAAGAATTTGGGGAAAGGGAGTGTCTTCGGTGATCCAAAAGTTGAGGACCAGCCACCTGGAGGGAAGTACAAATGACAAGATGACAAGAACCATAAAAATCCTGTTCCTACTCTTTGACCTACTCACATTACTTCTGGGAATGCAGCCCAAGGAGATAATCTAGAATATGACAGATTTTAATTACAGTCCATTTTATTTTAAAACAAACGGCAAAGCTAAGGGACAGTGGAATAAATTATTGTAATTTATAAATTAATTTATAAATAATTATATATATAATTATATATATGTAATATATATAAATTATATATATATAAATAATTATAAATTATTGTACTTCTTGATGGAATTTTATTGAAGTACCTATGAAGACTATGCAGGGACCCAGAAAATGCATGTGCTGTAATGTCAAGTGAAAAACGCAAGATGTACATAATGTGTGTCCTTGATGTTAGGACTATGTGAAAACTCTGTTACTATTACTACAGAAGGAAATGCACAACAATAGTAATAGCTATTGTCTTAACTTCTAGGATTGTTTCTGTTTCCCACACTTTCTCCAGGGGTATTTTATCTCTGTGGTAACCAACACAATGTGTTACACAGACAAGCAGGTTGCCACCTGACTTTGAGGGTCACCTGGATCTCCTGTGGCATCTAATGTCCCTCTCAAACCAGCTCCCTTCGGATACAGCTGTCTCTGGAACTGGGCCCAAGCTCCAGCTGCCTTTGCCCAGTTGGCAAGGTTGTCTTTGCCAACTGGGCAAAGCTCCTTTGCCCCTTCGGACACCGTCTATTTCACAGTAGGGTGTATCCTTCCTGAGGTTGCCTTCTGACAGACAAACCCCAAATACCAGGCCCCAGGTCCCAGCTGTAACCCTCCCCCTATCACCTGGCTGCTGAGATCCCAGCCTGTCTCACTCACTCCCGAGTCCTTGAGAGGGACAAGGAGGTGCTCCCTTTTGGTTTTTAGCCCAAAGCTCTCCCTTCCCACATTCCCTCCCTTTGGTCACCTCCTCCACTCCCAAAACCCCCACTGTGCACTCCCATGAGAATGGAAGGCCCTTTCTTTTTGCATCTGTGGGACCGTGTAGAGCCCTTGGCATACAGCAAATGCATAAGCAATGTTTCTTGAATGAGTGAGTGACTGCATGAGTAAATAAATGAGTGCGGAGCCCTGCCTGTTATTCTGGGCTCCACCATGACCATGGGAAGCCCCTCTTGATGTCCAGATGACATCTCCAACTCAGGGGACCTAAAACAGTCCTTAGAAATGTCTCCCACTAAGCATCAAAAGCACTCTGACTCCCCTAAGACACTTATAGCTCCCTAGGTGTCCTCGGAGACTTTTTCACTGTATCCAACCAGTTACCATGTCACGGCATCCACTGGAAGCTCTCCATGCTACAGTTCCTGTCTTCCTTCCCAGAACCTCCTTAAAGATAACCTGTACTCCAAACATGCAGGACCCCTCCGTTCCCCAAACTTCAACCGGCCTGCAGAGCCTACCTCAGATTCATTAAAAGAAAGACTAATACTGGCTCAGGGTAGAAAAACTGGAAATTATAGACAATCACAGATTTTATATCAACTATTGAACATTTAAAGTTTTCCCAGGTTCTCACGACTAAGAGGAACAATTTGATGCAGACCCTCACATATATATTTTTGGCCATATCTCTACTCATCACACCAGTAATGGGATTACTGGACCCAAAATTTGTATAAGCTTTCTAAGACTATCAATGCATGTGCCCAAAACTGCTTTCCAGAAATAAAGGTGATACTAATTTACACTCCAACCAGGGAACAGCGATGCTGCTTATCTCACTTGACCTATGTCAGCACCGAGGGAACAATATTTGTCGGTTTCACAGGTGGGAAATTGGGCCTCCTAATTCTTCTACTTCCATGTCTTTCCTTTTCTCTCTGATCAGTTTTCTCTCTTCTCTCTCTCCCTCTCCCAGGACTTCCTCTGCGGAACTTACTCCATCCTATAAAACCCACCTTGCATGAAATCTCCCTGGCTCCAGCCCAGAATGCTGCCTCATTCAGAATCCCATCATTTTATCTGTGTCTCCTAACTGTGCCTTGCGGTGAGATATTCTGCGCGGTTTTCTTGTTCCTTGTGACACCTTAAATGCCCCGAGAACAGATTTGGGTCCTTCTGCAGTGTGCTCTACCTCTTAGAGTTTAAAAATGCTGCCTTACATCTCTATGTAACATAGCTGTTCTCAAGCCACATTAATAATGATGCATTAAAGGGGCACCTGGGTGGCTCAGGGGGTTAAAGCCTCTGCCTTCAGCTCAGGTCATGATCCCAGGGTCCTGGGATCGAGCCCCGCATCGGGCTCTCTGCTCAGCGGGGAGCCTGCTTCCCCCTCTCTACCTGCCTCTCTGCTTACTTGGGATCTCTGTCTGTCAAATAAATAAATAAAATATTAAAAAAAATAATGATGAATTAAGAAGTAAGGCTTTGGGCTGCCTGGGTGGCTCAGTCCATTAAACGTCTGCCTTTGGCTCAGATCCTGATCTCAGGGTCCCTGGATGGAGTCCCACATCAGGCTCCCTGCTCATCGGGAAGTCTGCTTCTCTCTCTACCCCTCCCCCCTGCCTGTGCTCTTTCTCTCGCAAATAAATAAAATCTTAACAAATAAAAAAGTAAAGCGTTAGCAGCATAATGGGACAGAAGTCTATTTATTTAAAAAAGGAACTTTGTAATGGTGAAAGTGATTTCTTACTAAAAAAGGGTATAAGGAATATCTTGCAATTTTCTTTGCTTTTATATAAAGGTAGGGTCAAATGAACAATACTCCGTTAAATGGCTAAGAAAGCAGGTTACCAAAAAGTATGTCTAATTCTGCTTTTGTAAAAACAAACACTATAGTAGGGGCACCTGGTGGCTCAGTTCCTTAAGCCTCTACTTTCGGCTCCGGTCATGATCTCAGGGTGCAGGGATCAAGCTCTGCATCAAGCCAGGCTTCCTGCCCAGTGGGGAGTCTGCTTCTCCCTCTCCCCCTCCTCCCTCCCACTCTTTCTCAAAAATGAATGAATAGTATCTTTTTTAAAAAGACCAGAAAACAACAGTCATTCATATCCATGTAAAGCATATATTGTATACATATTCACAGACATAGAAAAAGCCTGGAAGCATGTATAACAAAAATGTTACCGATGGGTATTTCCTAATTTTTTACAATGATTGTGTTTCTTTGGATATTTCAAAAATATTTTTAAATGTCACAGAAAAAGAAAGGAGGATTTAAATCTTGAAGTCCAGAATTAAATGTATTGGTGCCCAAAGGCAATCTCTGATACCACCTTTGTAAGATTCAGTGTTGGCAAGGCTTTCTCCTTTGGTATCAAGAAGAATAAAAACAATATAATAATAAATAATATAAAGAAGAAAGACATCAGTAAGGTTTCTGTGAAGCTCCTTTAAGCCCTCTGGTGTAAAAGAAGCTTTTCTTTGAACAATTACACTGACCATTTATTAGTTTGTCTGAAAATAAAGGATGTGCCAAAAATCTATCAGTGTTTTCCTTTCGTATTTTCTGTGACACAAACCACAAACCGTTTATTGAACTGCAATCTCCATGAACTGCCAACACTAGTGAATTTAAACCTGCCTTTTAGAATCATAAACTATAATTAGCTCTCTGGCGGACTTAAGTGGAGAAACATGTTTTGTTTTGTTTTGTATCAAATATATTTTGTCCTGCCCTGCTTTAAACACCTATCATGTAATCGTGCACATAAAAGGCTAGGCTAGGTGATGCCTTGGGGAAGAAACAATTGTAGGGAGAGAGAGAGACAGAGGACCAAAGAAGCTTTCATCAGAAATGGGGAAAAAATGGGATTATTATTTGATGTCTCTCAAAAAACAAGCATAGGATTGCTGTATAGTTGAAGCTCAGA